CGATCTTAATTGTATAAATTTAACTGTGAACCTAAAGCTTAACAACCAATATTTAAAGAAATGCATCTTTGCTCTGGAAATTGTTATTGACTATGTTAATTCTGTAATGAAATGCTTCTTCTAAGTATGTGGTTAGTAAATAAATAATTTTTAAGTTTCATAAATAATTGCACACACTCAACTCCACTAAGTACCATCCTGTTCCCTCACTGTCTCCAGGCCCTGGAAACACAAAAACAACCCACAGAATGTGGGGATTTCCACCACTATATAACTTCAAGAAGCCCAGGGGTCCTCCCATCAAAAACTAACTCAGGGACTTCCCTATCCAGAAACAACAGAGATTAGGAGAATTGATGCCCTCTTAAGGAATTTGAGAGCCAGATCTAGAACTTGGTGGCCTCTCTGCCCCCACCCCACTTCCTATGTGGAAGTTCATGAGGCCAAGCCAAGGACAGAGCTGTCAGGAGGCACAGATGTCCCCGTTCTTGACCTTGGGAAATATTTCTTCTTGGGTCTCTGACATCCTTGCCTCCTAATGAAGAATCAGAGAAGATGCTCTTGTTTTGTCCCATAATTCTTTTCAAAAGCAAAATATCTTCATCTTTTTTAAAAAAATAGAAAATAGACAACAGGTTTAAATTCTGGGAATTCTGAGGGTTTAAGGAGATAGAACATAGAAGTCTATGAACCTATGAGCCTCCTATCCTACCCCAAGCTGATGGAACATCCCAGATCAAGTCAAGCCCCACCCCCCACCCCCAGTGAATCATTTCTAAAGAGGAGCCTCCTTTCTGTCTAGGAATAAAAGCTCATGAGAGAATTAGTGAAAGAACTTGCAGAATGAGTAATGCCTTAGAATGTAAACCAAGTGCAGTCTGAAACCTACTTTGAACTTTGTTTAAAATTTATTTTATTTTGGGACTGGAGAGATGGCTCAGTGGTTAAGAGCACTAACTGCCCTTGCAGAGGACTGACTACTCTTACAGAGGACCCAGGTTCAGTTCCCAGCATATACATGT